TAAACTATAGACCTTGTTTTTTTCTTTTATGTATGAATCTTTTTTTTTTTTGTGAAACACGATCTAAAAGGAGTCTTGAAGTATAGAGATAGTAATTTAGACCCTCCGCATAGACCGTGACAGATAGTGCTATTGTATGAAACTGCTACTCCTTTGGAGTCAATGTTGAAGTTATATCAATAAAACAGTCAAGTGTTTTTACTCTTACCTAGTAGCAAGTTTATTCTTCGTATGTTAAGTAATGAATACTTTATAGATTCATAAGTTTCAAGAATAAAAAATCAGAGAGAAATTCTTATTAACAAGTAGCACAAAAAGAAGTATGCAGTGGTTCCAGAAATTGACCATCCGGATTTAATTTTGATTTGTTTCCGTAATAGTAACTCACATAAAGAATCCAAATAATGACTTGAATAGAGAAAATTGTTTTCAACAAGAATTTGACGGGAATAGAATCTTCACAGTATTTTCAAAATTCAGGATCTCTATAAAATCCAAAACCTAGTTTGTCAGCATATAGAACCTGAAAGTAAAAGTTTCTTTTGATTACATAGAGCAATAGATCAATTGATTCTCTACAAAATGAGATGTGTCCGAACTCTTCACAACATTTTTTACCGGAACTACACTGATATTAGGAAACGGTCAAAAATAATTTTGTAATCATTTCCTAAGGGTAAACCAGATAAAAAAAGGCTGCTGGACTTTTCTTAAAATTTATACAACTAAGTCAAAAACTGTCGTGGAGAGCTCAAAGACATCTCATTCTGTAGGGAATTAGTTGTTATGTCGTCCCATACAATCAAAAGAAGCTTTTATTTTCGACTTTTATGTGTTGAACAACCAGGTTTGAGGTTGTCCAGAGACGCTGGATTTTGAAAATACTGTGAGGATTTTATTTCCCTCAAATCCTTGTTGGAAATAATTTTCTTTATTCAAGTCACTATTGGGATTCTTTATGCAAATTAGCATTATTTAGAATTTTCTGCAGTCGACATCGAGTAAGTTTGACTTCGAAGGTCTCTGGTTGTAGACGTTATTGACATACTATCACAGATCGTATATCAATAAACATCTCGTATATGAATTTGTTGCATTTCTGGAGGATTAAGTAAAACGATGGTGAAGAAATATGTTTCAAAATAGATCGAATAAAACGATCTCCCTGTGATTACTAATGGCAGTTACATCGTGTTTCATATTTTAAGTTTCCAAGGATTGTGCTAACAATGTTATTAAATTTTTCTTTAGTTTATGCAAAATGAATGTTATTCCATCTCATGTTTTAATAGAAGCATTTCAAGCAATGAAACATGCTCAAAGTATTTTGTTAAATGAATTGGTTTTTTTCTTTCTTAATATAAAAATTTTTCTATCTTAGATTTAACAATTTTGTTTCTTGATTCAAGTTTATTTCCATCATTTGTTGATAAAAATACAATTGTATCGAATGAACTTGATCCTACAGCTCGGTAAAGTCAAATAATTATTATAAATTATTCATTATTATTATTATTATTATTGTATCTTCGAATAGATTACCCGAAGTTGATAGTGCATTTTGGGGTCGATTAGAAATAATGTGTAGTGAAAATCAATATGCTGATGAATGGATACCAGTATTTATTGCATTACTTGAAGTCACACGTGATATCGTTGATGTATGTTATATATAATAAAAAGTCGTTTATAAGCATTTGTAATTGTTTTGTTTTGATA